CCAATCAAGTCTGACTTGTGCCGTTATCTGTATCCAAAATCCATGTAGGCTTATATTCTATCGAACATTAAGTTAAATGGTTTACTGGTTTCAAACCAATCCTTTTAGCTTATGTAATGGAGGAAGCGAATAATTTTTGATGTTCAACAGGCTCTTAGTTTGCCAAATTGTCACCATTTTCATTATAATGAAATGACGTTGTGGTTGTCTTATGTAACAAAAATATGGCCAAATAAAGGGATTCTTAGAAACCTGTTACAATTACATTATGCAACCTTTACAAAATTTTAGTATGCTCACGGATAGACTACTTATTTTCATTGTTAACAATTTTTTTAAACTCCTTAAATAGGTCGACAATTCTTTTCTCCCAAACGAATGATAATTAGCCTCTATGTAAGCCCTCCAAAACTGAAACGAGTCTGAGTTCTATAACCTTGTACTTGACATATTATTCCCTGAGCCCTTTTGTCCTTAGTTTCCTCATGCCAATTTGAGCTCTGTAGAAGTGTTTAGGAGGCTACTGGCCTCACAAAAAGTTACATTTGCTCATGTACTAAAGTTCCTCTCTTTGTCATAAATTTTAAGTTACATTTGCTCATGTACTAAGTCCCTCTCGTCGTCATAAATTTTAAGTGAATTACTGTAAGATTGCATGCATGTCTACTATTATTTTCCGTATCTGCTTCACAAAAGTTTCTTGTCTAATAAATTGTCTTGAAATTTGGTCATTTCCCCCATTTGTTACCTATATTTATGGGCATCATATTGCTGCTGCTTGTGCAGTAGGTTGTTTGTGACTCACAATAGGCTCACATGAAATTATTTTAAACGTAAGGAAAAGATTAGAGTGAATCATTCTGATATAAAACTTGCAGTTGATATACAATGATCCCTGTGCAAAAACTAAAAAGATGCATCTACTGATAATATTTCTGAATCATCTGATTGCATCTGGAGGATACCAGCGGCTTATCTGATTGTATGTGCATCTGCCTCCTGTGAATAGCTGCTGGCGCTGGACATTGTCTCATTGTCACTCTTTTTTGCATCTAATTTGCTTCATAAACAGTTGAAGAAAACATCCCGAAATTAGTCACCTCTCAATAGTGAATTGAAATCAGTACTCTCTCTTTATAGGGTGAATCATTCTGATATAAAACTTGCAGTTGATATACAATGATCCCTGTGCAAAAACTAAAAAGATGCATCTACTGATAATATTTCTGAATCATCTGATTGCATCTGGAGGATACCAGCGGCTTATCTGATTGTATGTGCATCTGCCTCCTGTGACTAGCTGCTGGCGCTGGACAATGTCTCATTGTCACTCTTTTTTTCAACTAATTTGCTTCATAAACAGTTGAAGAAAACATCCCGAAATTAGTCACCTCTCAATAGTGAATTGAAATCAGTACTCTCTCTTTATAGGGTGAATCATTCTGATATAAAACTTGCAGTTGATATACCATGATCCCTGTGCAAAAACTAAAAAGATGCATCTACTGATAATATTTCTGAATCATCTGATTGCATCTGGAGGATACCAGCGGCTTGTCTGATTGTATCTGATTGTATGTGCATCTGCCTCCTGTGAATAGCTGCTGGCGCTGGACATTGTCTCATTGTCACTCTTTTTTGCATCTAATTTGCTTCATAAACAGTTGAAGAAAACATCCCGAAATTAGTCACCTCTCAATAGTGAATTGAAATCAGTACTCTCTCTTTATAGTCTCCATATGGGAGATGTGCAGTTGTTATAAAGGTTTTGAGGATCTGTGGTGCTAAACTATTATCTAGGATGAGATAGCTCATAGTAGTTTGGAGAAGTAAGGCACACACCAAGGATTTGTGACCCCAATTTTCCTTTTCCTCTTATTTCTCATTAGCACCTTGCCTGGTACCTATTTGATCCTTGCCAAAGTGACCGATACATACTAACTTGGGATTCAGTATGTGAATCTTGTTTCTTGGACATAGCCGACAAACATGAAAAGCAGGTGAAAAGAGGTTGGCTAGGAAGACTTATTTCGGTTGTAGTGCTTTAGGAATTTTAAGCTTTGTCGTACTAGAAACAGTGAAACCATTTAAGAGAAGCTTCATTGCAACTGAATTACAAAATGCCTACTGTGCAAAGCCTTTGAACTTTGTTGAAACTCACTTGCAAGATGCCCCCGGTAAAAAGCCTTGGAACTTCAATATGTATGTCTATACAATTGGTACTTATGTATAGACATACATATTACATTTCTGTAGTATATAAAAGTGCAATTGGTTATACTTTACATTGTGTCACTATATAGATTATATACTGTATGCTCTAAATAAGAAATAATATTTCTAGATGCGTTGATTCTAATTCTTTTAGAGTCACTTTTTGATATTTATTGTGTTTTTATGCACTAGATTTTTTGAAGCTATTATTTCAAGTTTCATGCAAAGAAAGTTAATAATTAGTCTCTAGAAGTTCATTTACTCTTCTATCCATGTAAAACTTTCATTTGTATTCCTGGGAATTCTCTGTAGTTTCCTATTAAGAATCTATTAGTAGTATGCTGCAATATAGCTAGGTAGTTTCTCATCAATGTTTTTGTAGTTAAAAAATTTCTCATGTAATCATGTTTTATGTAAATCATATCCTGGAAATATCTCCATAGTTCAAACCACTTCAATCTTGTGCTAAATAGGCTTACCAAAAATCCTCGCAGGTTTTTCCGTTCCTGCGTTTATTTTTTCAATATTATCTTAGAAATATCTCATCACGTTCCTGAACTATTGCATTCTTCTTTTAAACGGCCACCCCAAAAGTTCCCCGACTTTTCTTTGTTGCTCCTGTACTGTTATATTAATCATAATCACAACCTAGAGATATCTCAATAGATTCTTAGACTAGTTCAGCCTAATACTAAATGCAATGAAATTATGCATGTTTCACAATTTGACTTCAACTACATATTCTTATTGCATTACTCTTAAAAGGTTATCAGATTTTATCTACATCTCTCATTTTGAAAGATAGCACTTTGATAACCTTTCTTCTCTTTTGCAGAGATATCAAATGTGCCAACATTTTGGTAGATGCAAATGGATCTGTGAAACTAGCAGATTTTGGACTGGCTAAACAGGTTTATTATTCTGTTGAGTTTGTGATGCATTAATATATATATATATATATATTCTTTTTCTTTTTCTTTTTCTTGTTACTGACTGTAAACAATTTCAGACTACGAAAATTAACATACTGAAATCTTGCAAAGGGAGTGTATATTGGATGGCTCCAGAGGTTCGATTATTTTCTTTTTTTCCTTGTTCATAATTGTATTATCTGAAAGCATCAATTCCACTAAACAAGTCATAGTTCTTGATTCTTGATACGTATGGCACATATCATAGTTCTGATAACATGTTATTGCTGCTGATGCACGACTTAGTACTAGAGAGATGAGAGTGATTGTATCCCAAGTTTATGTCATGTTTTCTTTTTTTTCTTTTCTTTTCTTTTTTGGGGGAAAAGCTAGGGGGGAAGTTGTGTTTAGGCCCTCAGGAAGTTTCCAGAAATCCTTTCCTCCCTATCCTTTTCCTCATTTCTTTAGGCCATTGGAGCTAATGTTTTGCTCCTTTAACGCCTTTATAGAATCACTTGTTGTGAAAGTTTCTGAAGTTAATGTCAAAACACTGATGACACGAATATTATTAGACTTGAAACATGAATTCTATTGCAAAGATTCTGTACTGTATGCAAAGGGGGTTGAAGGGATGAATCATTAATTCCGTGGGCCTAAAAGAAACTTTTTCTTTGTTTGGGTTTTTTTTGGGAGGGGTTGGGAGGGGAGGGAGAAGTTGGTTGAGTCATAAGGGGTCTCAGGGGTATAATGTATGATGGCGGGTGGTAGCGATTATAACTTAAAAGTGCCCATCATAGTCAGCAAGGTTTTGTGGCATTAATAAAAAAAAAGGTTTTGTGTCAGTCCTCAAACAGTATGCATGCACATGGTACTATGTGTCAACCTACAGAGAAGAACTATGGAATTATGTCATTGTACTTTTCGTGAACGATCATTAAGTTTCTATATGCTGTAGGCTCTTTACTAAGGAGGCAAAAATAATTATCATTAATCTTCCAGGTTTTGCTTCCTTTTTTTCATTGGTGAATTCTCTTTTCAGGTTGTTAACCCAAAACAGCCATATGGACCTGCAGCTGATATATGGAGCCTTGGTTGCACTGTTCTTGAGATGCTAACTAGGCAGGTTCCATATCCTGATATGGAATGGGTGAGTAGTCTATTTGCTAGTGATTTCTCTCTTTTGTTTATGTCTTAGGATTTGATTTAAATTCAGTATTAATATAATGATAACAAGCAAATTTCTGCTGTGAAAGTGTACTAAGACCTACTCATGCCACTTAGTACAAAGGGCACTGATGTTCCGGTTTTGGAGACAGACTCTGCCTCTGCCTGGAGATAGGATTGCACCGATTTATTATATGGAACTTGAGAACTTAATCAACCAACATTTAAGTGTAAAGGTTTGGATGTTGGTCAAATAATAGAAAAGCCAAAAATAGATAAATATGGTGTCAAAATGATTGCTGAGTAATTGTTTTCTGTTCTATTAAGCTATAATTTCTCCACTTATCACTGTGATCATATCTTTCAAAAGCAAGCTGATACTTGGTAACTTCATTATGGCTGGTCTTGTTTTTTATGGTAATTAAATTAATTGGAGAGTGCATGGCACTTAGTTCAAAATAGTCAAATAGTTAAACTATTTTAAGATCCCAGGGTATGATATAACAGATCTCTAGATATTTTGTACCATGACTGTAGAATCACCAGGTGACAAAAAAGTGATAGGTTAAAAACTAAAAACCAGTTTCAAACCACTTTGATCACCCTAAAGTCTCCAAAATCAGTCACATAGTCTTCGGCCCTCATGATGTGATAGTATGAGACTCACAAATAAATAAGAAAATAATTGATAGAAGAATGTCCAATTATCCAAAGGTGGAGAGCTCATGAAATCCTTTTCCTAGGAATTCTGTACAGGAGGGAAGGACAGAAAAAGAAAACGGGCAACGAAGGCAGCTTTTAAGAAAAGTTATCTGATTAGAACTTTACCTTCCACGCTTTTTGTTTGCAGTTACTATATTCAGTTGAATAATTTTATTTGTTAGTGTTTCATCGCGTAGAGAGAATTAAATTTTCTTAAAGATTGAAATCGATGGGTTATGTGATTAGAATTTTTTTCTTCCATGCTTTTTTAATTGCAGTTTCTATATTCAGCTGAGTAACTTTATTTGTTAGTGTTTCATCGTGTAGAGAGAATTAAATACTTGTGTTTCTCTGTGGTTATTGTAGCAACATGTCTTTTTCAAGGTTGGCAGGGGTGAGAAACCTCCCATCCCCCGTGAACTCTCGAGAGATGCCCAAGCTTTCATTACCCAATGCATACAAGCCAATCCCGCTGATAGGCCCACCGCTTCACAGCTATTGGAGCACCCATTTATTCGGAGATGGCTTCCACTTTTACCATCAGCCTCTGATTACTCTTCTTCACCTGGCAAAAATAGATGGAATTGATTTGTCACAGTTAAGAGGATTACTTGAGCTTGTCTCAGGTATAAGACCAATCAGCTTCCCTCTTGATATAATGTTGTATAGTTTCTCCCTTCGACATCTTAAAGTAATTCACTCTTTCATTGCTCGCAGACATTCATTATTCATGTACTACAGGATTAGAGTAGAGCCACCAATGAGGTGGAATTCAATTTGTCAAGCAGCACCTGTGGAAAGCAGCATAAATATTTGTAGGCAATATTAGGATTAGCACTTTTTCGCAGCTCCACTGTTCTTTTAATCTCCATTATTTCATGAGAAGCTTTAATTGTAATGTTGCGCTTCTATCTGCTTGTCCATTAATGCTTGATTAATGCTTGATAATAGATTGTACTATGTACATCCATTTTTTTCAGACAAAAGGAGTTGCCCCTTATGTGTATATATGTATGTCTCTGTAACAACAGTGGAACTAGCAAGGTGCATGGTTTTTTTTTTTTAAGAAAGCATGGAGGCTGTACTTGTTCTGTGTGGTGAGATGTTTTCTTGAGCAATTGGGGTTCACTTAAAAATTGAACCGGTTTAGGATGGCCTGAAGGTGAGCCCTTATGTACAAAACTAATGAGATATTTTAGGAGTTTGATTTGACGACAAAAGCTGTGACCGTGTCTCAAAGTGCATTAACAAAGAAACATATGAAGTCGCCATTTATTCAGTTCACGGAACCACCATCATCTTGCATTACGTGCCCGTAGCAGCTTCCGCCCAGTTATGGACTTTTTGCTATCTCTGATCAGCAACACGAAAAACCTGAAGGAGTCCATCGCACGCATCCCCGACCGCAATGGTCTCCCGGGAGTAATGCGACCGTGACCCTCCGAGCCGTGTTCTCCAACGATCTCTCGGCTTCTCATTGGAGCAAAACCATCATCATCTGCCACTTTTCATGTTTCACCGGGAAGCTGGGGGCCCTTACTACGGTCACTCGGACATCCATCCGCTTCCGGATCTGACAGCCGGAGTCGGAGAAGATTCACCGCCTCTGCCGCCAAACTATCGGACCGAGGAGGAGGGGGGCAACGTCGGAGGATGTTGCACTACTAACATCTGATGGCGATGGTTGGTTGAGCACGACAGAGGCCGGGGCGAGGATGATTGTTGTGTCGAAGAATGGTAGGTTGAAGCTTGATATCAGGTCTTGGACGAGGGGATATCGCCTGGGGGAGTGGGTCCTCTGGAGTAGCGTACGGAAGGGATTAGCAAGTTCAATAAATGGATTTCTCGACTCCCAAACGATTTGCTTGGAATGCTGCAGGTGATTATTAGTTTCTGATCCTTCAATTTAAGGTGTGCTGTTCGACTAATATCAAGGAACTGGATAATCACTCTAAATTTTATCATGGCTACCCTGAAGTGGATTGAATAATTATTATCAAACGATTGTTTTCTAGTGTGGGGGTTGGGGTGTTTTGTTCAAGCAAAATTTTGACGTTTGGTGTGGATCATAAGTTTTGGAATCAAAAAGTAATTTTTTTTTTTGTGTGTTTTGGGATTTCATATTTGATGTTTGTTTCTAGAAAACTTTTAGAATGTTGAATCCAACAAATGTAGAAAGTACTCGATTTTTAAAATTTGCCAAATCCTCTCAACTGGAGAGGATTTGACAAATCCCATAAATGAGTATGCTTGCCTTTCTTTTTTTTCACCTTTGTATTTTGTTTTTTGTAGGAGGTAACCTCACCGAGATAAGCATATTCACCTTATTTTCTTTTGGGGGGTGTTTGGTTCAAGCAAAATTTTGGCAATTGGTGCGGATTATAAGTTTTTTGATCAAAAAGTGAGCTTTTTTTGTTTGGGGATTCCATATTTAGTGTTTGTTTCAAGAAAAATTTTGGAACGTTGAATCCCAAAAATGTAAAAAACACCCAATTTTTAGAATTTGTCAAATCCTCTCAATTAGATAGGATTTGGCAAATCCCATAAATGGGTGTGTTTACCTCTTTTTTTATACGCTTGTATTTTTTTTAGGTAAACTCACCAAGATAAGCATATTCACCTCATTTTCTTTTTAAGAATTTGTTATCCTACAAGTTGGGTTTGAACTAAACAAGATATTACAAATTTTAGGATTTACTTTTCTATAATAATGTTGAGCCAAACAAAATACTAGAAATCCCAATGCATGTATAAAACCTATGGGTTTGAAATTCTCTATGATATTACAAATTCTAAAAATTTTGGTATTTGAACCAAACATCCCCTAATTGGAAGAGACATTAATGGAAAGAAATCAATTAGTGGATTTAAGATGCGCAGTTCAACAAATCAACATGAGTATCTATATAATTGATTTATTTGCACATCAATCATTTAAAATTTGATTTCTTACAACTTGGGTTGTTACCCATGATTTTTAAGTTTTAACCTTTCTTACATGTATAATTTTTTAAGTTCATGTTCTAAGCTAATTTTAAGAAAATTAAGAGTCACAAAAAAACCAAGTATTCAAATTATAAATTTGTAAGTTGTTCTTATAGAGAAGAGATTTTTCTTTATGATTTAAATAGTATTTAGAAAAATCAAATTTCTATAGCTAAATGAAAGTATCTCTATAACATAATACAAATATTTTCTTAATATTCATAAACTAATAAATATTAATCAAATAAACATATTTTGATGTTTGGTAAGTTACTCGTGTTGATTTAAACTTGAAGAAATTCAGATCAAGGAGCGCATTTAAAGTCCAATTCGAGTTCAAAGATCCTAAACGAGTACAAATATGAACACCTCACCATTTGACTCATTTTCGCACCTCAGTTATCATGGGGAAGTTTGTTCCGCTGACCACTGACATTATTATTCCTAACCTGCACCTTCGCTTTCCTTAAACTCGGTTTAATTAATATGCTTCTTCAACCTAATTACTTCCATGACTGGGTTTTGTCATGAAGGGTAAATTTATGACCCTCAGCCTCAATGCAACTTTAAGATGTTTCCTCACAAAAGAATAGGTTTTGGGTTCCTTTTTTTTTAGAAAAAACAGAAGCTTCCAATTTGTCAGAATTATATTAGAATGCAAAGATATATAACTCTAAACCCTCACCAGCTTTGATACAGTTGCTGACTCTTGAGTCCCAGCTAGACCTGTTCCTCTAAGTCTGACGTACACCAGAGAAAACAGGATTACGTCAGCGTGCATGACACACGGTAAGACCCCACAAAACAAATAGAACGAACGAAAACCAAGCGAAAAACAATACAATAACAGAAATGACAAAAGAACGTGCAACTGAAAATCCAACAAAATCAAAATACAATCCACTACTAAAATATAATAATCAGAAGAATTCAAAAATCAAATGGGTAACGAGGTCATGCAGCTAGCGATCAGAATAATCATTCAAGTAACAATGTCATACAACTAGATGAGATTAATACTTAAAAAATCTACAACAAGAGACATAGTACGTCGAGCGAAATAATCCAAACAAGGAAACCATCATGTATATACCATATGTCTCAAATTGTAGATAATTAAATATTAACCACGATCTATGTATGAAAAGAAATATAACTAGTCCACATCTCACAAAAAACCATAATCGTCTAAGTATCAATGTCATACAACTAATCATCCTATAATAGGTCACTGGTCCATGTCTGACATAGAGTTAACGTTCATATTCTCGGATAACTGGCTGATCACAATACTCTACATACAATGTTTCACTGTCCCCTCACACCCCAGTGACTGCACGAATTCACTGGTGCGAGCCTGGAAAATACATCAAAATCACACATATCACGGCTCCTCAGACCCACCCAGTGACTACACGAATTCACCGGCGCGAGCCTGAAAAATACATCACAACCACACATATCACGGCTCCTCGGACCCACCCTAGTGACTACACGAATTCACCGGCGCGAGCCTGAAAAATACATCACAACGACACTTATCACGGCTCCTCAGACCCACCCTAGTGACTACACGAATTCACCGGCGCGAGCCTGGAAAATACACCAACAATCTCACATATCCCAGCTCCTCAGACTCACCCTAGTGACTACACGAATTCACTGGTGCGAGCCTAGAATATAATCACAATCACATCCGCTCACATGAACCAAGACTTCCTACCCTCTAACATCTATCGTATTTCTATGTCAACAACATAAACATGTCTCTAGGTCTCGTTCATCATACATAAGCCACTAAGTCATGAACTCTATCTCACATCCTCTGGTCTCATATCAGTCATCAAACAATCCACGCAGAAAATAACACATCACGACATAATCTAAGCAACTAATTAATAACGGGTATAAATAATAAAATAACAAGTCAAGGGGAAGTGAGATCTTGCACATAATAATTTATGATATAAAACTAAGAATTAAAATGAAAATAATCGAGGTTCAGGATCTTGCCTCGAGTACGTCGAATGTATCGACGCTGCGGCGCGGATCGGATCTGGCGTGTGGGAGCGCGGCGTCGGCTAGTTCGAGATGAACCAAACAGCCCCTTATCTGCTACCTACTTGCTAACATTGTATTTCCACATGTTGATCAATTTATAAGGCATACATATTAGCTTTTGTAAAGAGGACGTGATATACTTGACTTTAAATGCGGCTGGAATGTTAACTTATCTGCAAATAGGGAAGTTTTAAATTTATATCAAATATGGCAATTCCCATTCAAGCACTCCTTAGTGGTAACTCCGGAAAAATTTTCTGATTTGAATATGCTATTTCTTCTTTACTGCCTACATGTACGTATTCACTCCGTTAGGAGCATGTTCTTTTTTTCTTTTCTTTTTTTTTCTTTGGGAGGAATGAATAGTCTCATCTTACAAACATGTCCATAGTTGTCCTTGATCTCATGCATTTTACATCTTCCATTATGCGGTTACTACTTAGCTCACGTGTGTGGCAAGTGCCAGGAACTAATAGGATTAACCAGATGAGATCTGCAGAATCTGTCAAATGTTTTCCAAGAGTTTGGATTTCGAATTGTGTCTTAGCTACCAAATTATTGAACTGTGACATTTTGTGTTTATATGAGATCTTTTTGGTTTATACCTCGCTTTTATGAATAACTAGTGGAAGCCTCAGTTTTTCTTCAAGAGATTAATAGAAAGTTTGACGTTGTTGCTTCATATTGCTTCTGTTTAATGTAGGGATACTAAATAGTTGCTCCAAGAATTCACTGTCCATAATAGGTGGGTTCAGTTTCCTGGCATTTTGCCTTGATAGTTTACAGGAGGTCCTCCCTTGCTAATAAAAATCTCGTTGATGACTGGTTGTAAACATTTTTGTTCATGAGTTTGTGGGTAGAACCAGATTATTGTGGTAAAAGATGAGTATGATAATGGTTACATTATGTTACAGGTCAAGGCAATTTAAATCTCAAAATCGTATGCAATTGTGTGTGTTCCAAGGTAATTTTGTGATAGGTATCTTTCTTGCTATTGCCTTTATGTTTTGGCTCATTACCAGCTATGATTTATTAGATTGCATAATGAAGATAAATTATTAAAGTTGATCAATTTGGATTACTATTTAAACAGCCTGTTAAAGATCAGCTTCTGACCATGTTTAGTTATGAAAATCTTAATAATAAGTTCCTTTTCTTTTCATTGTCATACTTTCTAGAGCTTATATCACAATTAAGATAGTTTTCGGAAAAACATTGCTGGAGTCGTTATGAATTCGCAGGATATGATCGTGTGTAGTTTTTTTTCCCGCAAACGTAGTTAGACACAGGAGTGCAGCATATATTCACATCTTTTCAGATTTGTCATATCATATTTGTTTTCAGATTATGCCTACATTGACATCCAGTTATGATCTTCTTTTGATGGATTACTGATATGGGATTCAGTCAGGAGTCTAGGTTCAGGTCATTTTTCAACCAACCACGTTTCACATAGTTCCAGGCTCCTATAGTTGTAAATACTTGTTTGAGTTGAAACAACTATTGTTTTGTGCCTAGAGCAGACTGTTGAAGCCTGAAAACTTGTACAAAACCCCAGCACATGTACTACACCCATACGAAGCCATTACATGATCGAATTCCTTAAATGAGTTCTTACTAATTTACTTTGCATCCCTTTACTGGCCACAAGTCGGTGAAGCATGTTTAGGGCCTCAAAGGATACCTACTTTCTGCTGAGATTAGACCAGAATCTCCATCACCATTCTACTTCTGGAGATGTGACATACACAGGAAGAACCCTTGCACATCAATCATCAACTAAGAATTCATTTATTACCGTCCACTTTTCAGGGCCTATGTTACTGTATATCTCATATTTACATAAAAAATGCATGGCTCTCACTTGAGCCTTCATTTACAGGACATCAGTACGCATTTCTCCTCATCATTATATATTTTAAGTTGTTATCGACACAAAATAAATGATTAACTGCCCTTCTCACATATAGGATGCGCCTCTGAACGTCATTCTTTCTACTATCATCAAATATGTTTTGTTGCGTGATATTCTACATTTCCTACTGTAATGCATTCTATTTTTATATGAGATGTCTTGGGTGGTCCTCTAAACATTGTTTACTTACTGGATATGCAGTTATGATGGGAAAATGTGATCAGAAGATAAGATTTCAAGGAGTGTTACCGAAGTGACCATTCGATAGGCATCCTTAGAAATCAGACCATTCCGGTACAAATGCTTAATCCTGCAACCAAAATTAAAATCAATATATTAAAATGTAATCCAAACAAATCCAATCAAAACAATGGGATGGAAGATCATATACACTACTAAGAAGGAGGTAGGCAATTACATGTTGGAAATCAGCAAATTCAGCTCAAAAAATCCAAAACCAATCAAAGAGTCTGGGCTCTAAGATTCATGGACAATTGCCCAAATATGAGTTAACGATTTGGAACTGATAACGCCCTGAGATTTTATTAGGACTTGCAGCGGATAATGATCTAAGCCATAGGTGAAAGCAAAGACACAAATTGCTTACTTTTGATGTAAGCTCTCTCTCTCTCTCTCTCTCTCTCTCTCTCTCTCAAATTGATGGTGAGTTGTAAATTTATGCCCCCCCCCTCCTATTGATGTAAGTTTCACTCTCTATACATATTTTCATGTCTTTTGCAGCTATCTTTACTCTCTCTCTCTCTCTCTCTCTCTCTCTCTCTCTCTCTCTCTCTCTCTAATTGATGGTGAGTTGTAAATTTATGCCCCCCCCCTCCTATTGATGTAAGTTTCACTCTCTATACATATTTTCATGTCTTTTGCAGCTATCTTTATCAACAAGAAGGCTGCAGAGAAGTCACTGGTGTGTGTCAATATGTATACATATACTTGTACGTTTTGGAATTGGTACACTTTACACATGTTAGATGGTCAATAGAGCCTTTTTTTTTCCTTAGGATGGTTTATTATTTAGTTAATGAGAATGATTTCGTTTAAGCAAAAATTTCTTAAGCTTAAACATGATTCATAATTATGATGAAATTTATATCTGGAATAAACGCAACCATTCTACATAAGATTGGTTTGTTGTCAAAGGGGTGTCTTTACTTCTAGCTATGAAGTAAAGAAAATCCAAATCTGGATGATATTAGCAAAAGTTCATGACACTTTACTGTAATACCCTTATTGCAAACTTGGACCAGAAAACTGTGATATCCTTATGGCAAACTTGGACCAGAATTGGTTGCATCTTGAAGTGAAATCTCCACACATAAGTATAGCTGGCATAACGTTTATAAATTAAAGGCAAACTAATCATCTTCCAACAAAATGGGTACAATTTGGATATAAAAAATATATGATCAAATCCTACTAAAGCTGCTTACAGAGCTGTTTTTGTGCAGCCCCTCACACACACACTCTCTCTCTCTTCACGCGCATCAACACCGAGCCCACCGCCACCGATGCTCTCACAGACCTTTCAACAACGCAGTCATCCCTCGAGCACCACCGTCAGCGTTGCCGCACTCCTCGCACACCACCGCTACTATTGCTCTCTCTCTCTTTGGATCTGACCTCTCTCTCTCTCTAAATTCTCCAGAAAAAGCCCTAGACTTCAACAATGTCACTAGCGCTAGTAGAGAGGAGAGATGCGACGTAAGGAAGTTTTTAATTCCCTCAAGTTGCAGGCTAAACTGGAGACACAAAGCTTTGGGCTGAGCCGTCACTGTAACCTAAAGCGTCTTGCTGATGAGGTCGATCCGCGCTAGGGTTAGCCTTAGACATACCGTCACCGGTCATCAGCTTGCAGATCTCGCATCCGAAACTGCAGTAAAGATGACTCAAGATGGTCTTTCCCATTATGTCATCTTTACTGCAGTTTCGGATGCGAGATCTGCAAGCTGATGACCGGTGACGGTATGTCTAAGGCTAACCCTAGCGCGGATCGACTTCATCAGCAAGACGCTTTAGGTTACAGTGACGGCTCAGCCCAAAGCTTTGTGTCTCCAGTTTAGCCTGCAACTTGAGGGAATTAAAAACTTCCTTACGTCGCATCTCTCCTCTCTACTAGCGCTAGTGACATTGTTGAAGTCTAGGGCTTTTTCAGAACGCGGGCCTTAGACAACACTTCAAAGATGTTCCTATTCAGAACGCGGGCCTGCATAGACAATAAACATCTTAGAAAGATCTCAATAACACTAAACTAGGACCCCAAGATAACCGCCAAAAAACCAGAAACTATGAAACTACCTGCTCAGATTCATAGGGCATTCCTAAGAAAATGAAAGTGTTTACAAAGCTATCAACTATCTCATCAAGTAAGTATTCTCTAATTTTACAATTCGACTAAAGATATAATGCAGAATAAACTTTTTTCTATTATATTTTTAGAAAAAGGCGATAGATTTTGTTCCAGCTGAAGTTATTTGGTCAAAAATTTTGAAATATCAGTTCAAAACTTGCAAGCCATTAGTTCTCTATAAGATATGACGAACACATACAAAAAATTTATCTAGTCTAGTGATGTTAAATAGTGGGTATCGGAGACATGTTTAGGGACACTTAATGCACCGTTTATGTTTTGCAGTCACTTTCGGACGATACACACTTGTCCAGTATCTAATATTCTCCAATTTTTTATGTGCATGATGCTTTCAAAAAAAGAAGAAACCAACAGAATGTTGGTACAATATTGGTATCATTATTTTGCACTGAGATTTTACAGGCCACGAGTCCTTCTGTTACATGGTACATCTGCATGTAACTTGACTTCTATCACCCTGACAGAATGTGTTAGGGAAAAGATGTGTAACTGTATACTTTAGGTTTAATGAAGAATATCTCAAGGCCCGTAGACATCATCCATATTAAAAAACAGATCTGCAAACTTAAAAGATACTGATTACATTTGTACCTCCTCATAAAGAGGTCCGGGATCCAAAGTAAAATTTCCATTCCATGAAGATGAGTGAAAGCATTGTAAAAAGTTTAAAAAAATCAGATGAGAATCTGCTTTTAAATTTGTTAGATGTGATAAACAATTCTACCAAGGAACTTAAAGTTACTAACTGATGAATCACCAGCACCGAGTACCAAGCCAAAAGTAAAGAAATTTTTGCATCCAAATGCAAATCTAAGTACAATCATATTGATTGATTTACCAATTGGTCCAATACTAACATGAACACGTCATGATTTCTAAGTATAGGCTATTGCTTTTGTCAGCACTATCACCAAGACACCAACCATCACCAGCATCATCTTTTCTTTCACCAGAATAGGCCCGAGGTCAAACTAGAAAGACTATGATGAAACTGCAGCCAATTGCTAAATTGACACCAAGTTTAGAATGCTAGTTGAGTGATTATTGTATTGTCTTCAAGTTTAGAATGCTAGTTGGGTGGCTACTACTCTGCTAAGCTGACATTAAGTTTAGAATGCTAGCTAAGTGGTTACAATACTGCCCTGTTTTAATCTCTTGTTGTGACAAAAGAGCGACCACATAAAATATATGTTAAACACATACTGTACCGTGAAAGCAACTAGTATTTGTTTAGTTCATGTGTAAGGTAGTCATTAAGAGATCAATAAGCTAATGCCAATTTGATATTAGTGTATTATCAATATTTTGGAAAATGATGAGGTAAGCTTCAGACAGATTACCGTAATGACGAGAAAGCCTTGATCCTCATGAAAAGGTCTGGAAATATTAAGATGACCCATATCTCTCAAAATATATATGCAAAAATAAGAAAAATGTTCATGTTAAAAAGGATTGGCAAAGGGGAGAGAGGATTCAAACACTGGGAAGAGCATGGAGAGGCACTATTATGTAAATATTTTAAGAGAACACCAGTGTTTTATTCTAGTATGAGTTTGCAGATCTGCTTTTTAATATGGTTGTATACAAAGCTAAAAATGATTATTTGGTAAGATGTGATTCTCAATTCTAGAAGAACCAATGATGTCGTTACTTTTATCAAAAGGATGTAATAAATTTTTTTTTCAGCAATATGCTTACATCAGATTTCATCTTATGCAACTACAAGCGATTGGCCCTTAACATGTCATTAGATTTTATCCACATAATAGATTTGAAGTCATAATAAGTAAAAAATAAAAGTAAAAGCTCCAAAATGTAAGTACAACAAAAACTCAAAATGTCTTGCACACCTTCAAACAGTTATCTTCCAGATCAAGAAACTCTAATATATTTGAGTGCCAAGGCTCCAGAGAAACTGCAACTGCATCTCTATCCAACACAGGAAACGACTTTTCAACCAAAAAAATCAATAAATAAACAAATATGATATTCATGAATTTAGTTCTGTAAAATTACCCTTCCTCTCGACTTCCTCTGGATCAACATAATGAGCTGGGTCAGTGTATAGCCTTAGCATTGGAATTATACCATTGGACATTCCATGTGTCCGACTCAATGATCCAATCTTTTGAACAGTATCATCAATTCCTCTAGCAGATTTGATTACATGATCACACTGCTTGAATGCGTCATATATACCCTCAACGGTATCACCTTCCAGACAGAAAATGTAACAGTTGCTGAACTGGCAATAGATAATACAGATAAAATTAGACAACTTCTAACTAGCTTCAATTTATTAAATAGAACTTTACAAAAAACAAATCACCTGCGCCCAATCTGTTCCAGCACAAAATAGAACATTGTTTACGAGGGTATATGATCTTTCTGACATTAACTGATATGTTCTAATCACTGACACGATATCAGACTTATGAGTTCCAATTGAAGCTCTCATCAACATGTGTTGAGGCCTTTCAACAACTACACCATCAACTTTTAGGAGACAAGACCTTTCGAGAACTTTGAAAACAAAGTAGTCATAATAGAAAAACTACACCATCAACTTTTAGGAGACAAGACCTTTCGAGAACTTTGAAAACAAAGTAGTCATAATAGAAATCTCTATTGTAAATTATCTCTGCATCCAGGCCTTTCGAGAACTTTGAAAACAAAGTAGTCATAATAGAAATCTCTATTGTAAATTATCTCTGCATCCAGGCAAATTGCATTCTGTGATAAACACATTCGAATTATACAAAGTTTATATACATTACTTATTCAAACTAACAACATTGAAGAAAAGTGTTTGGAATAATAGTTGTATATTAAAATGTAGACAATCTTTGTTCCGCAAGCTCTACAATAGATTTTTTTTACTGTCAAGAAGAAGAAGAAGAATGAAGCAAAAATAATAAGAATGAAACAAAAATAATTATAGTTTTACATTATGAGCCTTAAATTGATTAATTGGATTGTAGTAGACTAGTTGTTATCACATAGAAATTAATTTACTTTTATTCCCATTTGTCCTCTACTCAAAGTTGCATGTAACATGTCAACACCTTATACTCCTACCGAACTTATGTACAATTGTACATAGAAACTAATTTAACTCTTTATCTTTTATTTCAATAGTTCACTGGTGCCTTGTTCAGTTCGATTTTTCTTTCGGTGTTCAGTGAACCTATGAAGCACCGACACGCCAAAACAAGCCCCGAGTCCGTGTCCGAAGCCTGTTGGACACGCGTCGGACACGCGGTCAACGCCGTCGACACGCGTCAACGCCCTCGACACGCGTGTCGACTCGGCGTCGGACACGCGGTCAACGCCGTCGACACGCGTCAACGCCCTCGACACGCGTGTCGACTCGCTCCCGACACGGCTGAACTTGTTCCCGACACGACTGAGAAGGCGACAATGATACACGACACGGCTGAGAAGGCGACTACGAACCTGAAGGAGGGAATACAGTCGAGGGAGTAAACGACGATCTTCGAGGGACGACGAACTTCAAGGGACAACGAGCTTTGAGGAGGACTCGACGACGAGCTTCGAGGGAGGAGTCGACGACGAGATTCGTGGGACGACGAGCTTCGAGGGAGGAGTCGACGACGAGATTCGAGGGAGAACGGTGAAAACCCTAGCCCTTCGGATCTGAAGGAGGAGAGAGGGGAGAGAGAGAGAGAGAGGAGCCGATCTGAAGGAGGCGGCGGCTGGAAGCATGGGAGAAAAGTGAGAACCCTTGCCCTAGCACCCATTCCTACCTATTTATATGGGTAGCATTTGTAAATAAAAATTTAGGCTAGGGTTGTAATATTTTGTACACTATTTACCTTCCATTTCAATAATATATTTGTAATATTTTGAGGAATGCTTGTAATATTTTGGCTATAATTCTAACTTCTAAATGTATACTTGTAATTGTTAACTCTCGTTTTGTGAGATAAGCTTGTATTTTTATATGCTCAAGATGAAAGTAAATGTACGCTTTTGGTTGTAATTTTTATATTTTTCTATAACTCTCTTTCTTGTCTTCTTTAACATTATTGTTTTCAATTTTCCAAGAGATCATTGTCATCCCGACGTCTTAATTCACACCTACAACACACACTTTCCTTTAGTTTCTTATTTATAATATCCACTTTCATCCCGACGTCTTAATTCACACCTACAACACACACTTTCCTTTAGTTTCTTATTTATAATATCCACTTTACATAACAAAAAATATGAAAATGTAAGTTTCTTATTTATAATATCCACTTTACATAACAAAAAATATGAAAATGTAATAGGAATTTAATTCAATAATTATCTATATATAATAATAATAATAATAATCTAGTCGTGTCGCCGTGTCCTTTTTTGGGTTTTGCCGTCTCCGTGTCCGTGTCTTGTCCGTGTCGTCGTATCCGTGCTTCATAGCAGTAAACTGCAGATAAAAGGTAGAAACATAAAACTAAAGATCATACTTGGCATTATCAATCTTATATGTGATGTCTTTTTTCCTGAAATTTAACATTTTCTGCATTTCACTATGATTTATTTGATGTGAATTCAGACATTTTCTTTTCAAGGCCTATTTGTCTCTCATGGGATGTGAGAAGACAAACTAAGTCATGATCTCACAATTCCTACTTCGCATAAGACTAGTATTCATACTATTAGACTTCCAGTTTTTCCCCTGTCGATTAGTCAGCATGAATGTTTGCTAAAAGTTGACATGAGCTTTTGACTTGTGAAATTTGAAGATGGTTGTAGAATTTGACTACTGTCAACATGGGGGATTCAGGATGCATGGTGGATGGTTGTAGAATTTAATTACCTTAAAGGAATCAACTTTTATCTTCCTATTAATCCCCCTTGAAGCTTATTGGAAGCCTTCTGCTACCTGTTGACTTATCATGAATTCTTTTTTATTTTGTTTCTTGCTTTGGGCTTTGACTTATGGAATGCAGTTTAACTTGCCAATTTGCCATCGGTCCTTGTAGCAGTAGCTTAAGGTACATGGAATGATATACTTGCTGCAGATTTGAGAAGATTTGTTCTATAGTACAACCGTAGTATGAGCATATCTTCAATGCTGTACATGCTACTTGTTTGAGCACATGGACATACGCTAATATACTTTATTCTTTAATATTTTTCCTCCTCTTTCAGTTGTTGTTCTGTGTTTACTGTTAGACTTTGGACTTAAAAAAGGTAGGACTATAAATATTCTTCACATTCTATTTTATTTACCCACTATTCATACATATACATTACGACAAAATTCTTTGACTTCCACATTTTAAATATGTTAATGAAAAAAATAAAGCTTTCTTTGCTTTCTATTACACTTTACTTGCTGACCCTGCTTTGCAATTATGTACATGTTGCAATTATATATCCTACTTTGCAATTAATATACCCTTGTTTTGTTTAATTGCACTAAAGTACTTATAGTTGTATATAGATCTTATATACCTTGCAATTAATTCACTGCAGTTATATATTCCAATTAATATACCAATTTATATACCTCGAAATTAATTCCTACAGGTGTACTCATATTCATGTGTACATGTAGGTTGTAATTATTTTTGTAGTTGTGTGTTTCATTATTTTTGTAGGATGACTAAAAAAATATAAGGTTGCGGTTGAATGAATGTATAGTATGTATGAATGTATAAAAGAGACGATATTAAACAATTTGAGCATATTATCCTTGGAATTCGGTATAGGTAGTCTTTAGATGAATAATGACCCTATATCTGAACATATGAGTCTCTACATAAAATTAAGCATTTCTTGTGTTTAGTTTTTGAAGAGGTTAAATATTTTTTCAGGAAATTTTAGTACATTGCTTGAAATGGCGCCGAATAAAGATTGGATGGACGTAGTAAATGATGATAGACTTGATCCAAAATATGAAGAAGAGGATGATAAGTTTTTAGACTATGCATATGAGAAGCTGTTGAATAATTTGAGCATATTATTTAAAACTACTTTTTTAGTTTGATGTTGTACTCATTTTTATTTAATATTTAAATAAGGGTGGCAAGTCAGGAAATCCACCTGATGTGGCAAAAATGTTCCATGAAATCCGAAAAAAAGCTAATGAAATACTAGATACTGGGGATCAAGATAAATATGTAAGTAGAATATATCTTTAAGTTTGATAATGATGCATTATATAGTACTAACATATGAATTTAATTTTTATAGGATAAAATTGTCCAAGTTAAATAAGCAAACCCTTCACTTTCAGACATTGAGATAGTTGAGAAAATCTGGGGGAAGCAATCTCATGGTCACATCACTGTATTTGGTGGCGGGACTGCTTTAAAAGATTTGAGAGGACTGCTCCCTAGTCGATCTGATCTGGAAGCACGGGTTATAGAAGAAAAGAGAAAGAATCATATACTTCAACAACGCTTAGATGAGCAGGAGCAACAATAACATCAACAACAACAAAGGATGTCTGACTTGGAGTCACAAGTGAAAGCTACGCGGGAACTTTTTTTAAGGCAACCATCTTCATTGACTCCTCAAACTCGAGAACATGTGCAAGACTATGTAATTATTTTTTATAAAATATCTTATATACTTTTATGATTGACTTTTGCACTAGAGAAAATACGATTTTTACTTAATAAGATAATAGTTGCTTAATTGATATTTCTTAACTATGTGAATTTTTAAATTTTTCAAGCTATCCATGCAAGACTAGGAGGGGGGTAGCTCGAGTGTTCTTTTGACGATGATTAGAGATGAAAGGATGTGGTTTTTCCAGACTTTTATTTTAATTTGCTTTAGATAGTTTCACGTATTTTTCTTTAGAATAATTGGGCTATTAACTCTTGTTACTAGTATTGAATATTTGAGGATGGTGGAATTTTATTTATTGATGTTATTAATGAATAGTATTGAATATTTGAGGATGGTGGAATTTTATTTATTGATGTTATTAATGAATGGAGTTTTTGTTTTCCCTTTTATTCATTGGAATTTTATTTATTGATGTTATTAATGAATGGAGTTTTTGTTTTCCCTTTTATTCATTATTGTGTATTGTTAATATTTTTGTGTTGTGACTCTTAGTGTCATGTTGAGAATTATATGATAGTTGCATATGAATGAAAAGATTATCATTAATGTATATTAAAAATTTATAGTCTATAATGACGGTTTTATAAACCGTATTTTGATCATCAACGAAGGGAAAGAACCATCATTGATGAGTTACTAATTACCCACCATTAGGACTTTTACGACGGTATCCAACCGTCATTAATTGGTTTTCAACGACGGGTTTGTCACCCGTTATTACACAACAACAACGGGAATGAGAAATCGTCATTTAAAGTAACGACGGGAAATATACCCGTAACTAATGGTAACAACGGGAAATATCCTCGTAACTAATGGTAACGACGTGAAAAAATCCCCGTCACTGATGGTAACAACGGGAAATATCCCCGTCACTGATGGTAACGACGGGAATAAAATCCTCGTCACTGATGTTAACGACGATGATAATTACTGTAGTAGATATGAACGACGGTAATATGTTCCGTCGTTATAGACTCTATAACGACGGGTATTATAACCTTCGTGACCATTTAGCAAAGAAGGCTTCAACGACGGGCGATGAAGGGATTTTTTCCCGTCGTTAGCATATAATAACGAAGGTTTTTAACTCTTTAACGAAGGAAAATCTCTTCGTTAAAGATGTAATTTTTTGTAGTGTCTGGACCACTAAATAGTTCCCGTTGTTTTTTTAAATTGTCACCGGAGCTCCCCTACCTAGCATGATACTGCTGGTTGGTAATCATGTTATTGTGATTCTGTTCATGGTGTCTAATCTTCCTTGAAACTTAGTTACTGTCTACAAGAACATTCAAGGTTTATACCTATCATTCTCTTGCTGTGAAAGTCTCTCTATATTTCAGGTTTGCTTGGTACTATGTTAGGGGTAATATCCTTATGAGATTTGATAGTCTCCTTAGGGGCTGTTTGATTGGGCCAATATTATAGGAAAACTGCAGTTTTGAAAGAAAAAAAGTAGCTTTTAGGAGTTTTTTGGATTCCAATAACTGCGTTTGTTTCAATTTTTTTGGAAATGATTTTTTAAAAAGAGAGAGAACGGTGTTATTTTTTGGATAGCCCATTTCCTGTCTTTTGGAGCGGAAATGGGCGGAATCTGACACTCGATTGCCAGCTCAGCTTTCTGAGCTCTTCCTTTTCCCTTCACGTGCCAAATACAAGGGTCGTACCCCCATTACTCCCACCGCCTCATCTTCTCGTTCCCTCTTATTCTACCTTTCCCTCCGCCGTTTCGCGTCGCTTCAACGAAAAAATCAACTAGATCTGCTACAATCGTGCGCAAATTGATCTAGTATGGTCGATTAAAACATTGATTTCTCCTCGATGAAGCCTAGCGCTTGATTTCAGAAGCAATTTTCTGATTTTTGGGTTATACAAGTCGTTGATTTGCTGTCGTTGGGGATATTCATGGTGCATGCCGCCCAAAGTGAATGGAGATGAGCTTCTCTGATACGGGTGTAGTTGGCATTTTTTTCATTGCACTATGGTCTCTCTGAAAAGGACTATTTAGAGAACCAAGCCTGAGGCTAATGCAATAATAAGGAGGCT